TGAAAAGTTCAAGAATTTCTTTTTTTCATTTATTACTCAGAATAGAAGTTAATCATAAAAATAGCTATTTGAGAATAGCACAACTCTAAAACAAGAATTCTTCAGAGTCCTTCCAAGATCTGAGTAGTTCCTAGCTAGTGGGCCAGATTTTTATTTTTATTTTAAACTAGGCATCCAATAAATTTTTTTAAAACTAGGCATCCAATAAACTAGGCGTCCAATAAATAACAATACATTTCTTTTGTCATAGCTTTCCTTCTTTACATCTTGTAAGAGCACTGAGTTTGACTGAGTTTGGATGTGTTCCTATTCAGCATTTAATAGGGTTCACTCATAGGCTAATCTAATTCCTATAACTACAGAGCTATCTAACCAAGACCAAAGAAGAAGAAATGATGAAGAAAAAAGGAAGGCAAAGATGGACTCACACTGTACATTACATCTGAGGTTAGAGATGAGCACCACTTCCATAATAGCATGGATGCTGCCTCTAGCCAGCATCTTCGGGAAGTTCTAGGGACACAAAAGATCTCCGGAAAGATTATGCCAAGCCATGAGTTACTTCCTAAATGATCCACCCTATCTTATGGGGTTGGGTTAAGTATTAAATAAAGTACAGTCCTTGGTATAGAGAAGCACTTGCTAAATGTTAACTCTTGTTAACTGTTGTTATTATTATTATTTCGATGATTAAAATTTAAGAGTGACCAAAGCATCATTGCCTCATTGCCTCCCTTTTATTCTTGTTATAGGATGTCAGAGCTGAAATGAGACCTCACAATAGTGGAGTTTTACCCCTTGAGCTTCTCTCTTGATATGTGGAGAAACGAGCATGGATTTCATAATCCCAAACCAGGGGCCAATAAAACATTATGACTCCTCCTTGCAGAGTCCTATCTACTCAGTAGCTCTTGGATACAGTATTATAACGCCTTGTGTCCTTAGTATATTCTGCCATAGTGAAGTGGCGAATGGGATATCCTGACCCTTTGGCATCTCTGAAAATTATTTCCTTATAAAGCTAGTATGATGGCTGTGTGACTTATAACAACATGCCTTGTTTGCTTCATGTCGAACTCTATGTCAACATTTCTGACTCTCCAATCTGCAGCTGATTGTGCTGACTTTGGCCCGGTCGCCATAGAAATTGCTCTAAACAATTTATACCCAGTCAGAGCAGATGCTATGATTTCATCATTTTGGACCACTATCAGTTCTGCACAGAACCCAGTGCAGCCGCTCTCCCTTGCCAGATTTATCTCCATCTCGCAGTGTCAAATTGGAGTGGCAGACACAGCTTTATTGATATTGCCTTCTGGAAATTTCCCACTAACCAATATGTTTGATTCTTGGAAACATGATTTGGTTTATCCCAACAAAAATCCTATAACATCAAATGTGAGCAGAGGGCTTAAGATTAGGCTTTAAATTGCTCATTTCTGGTTCACTTGGCCGCTGCTAAATGAATAATTCTGGATAATTATGAAAATCCGTATCTTTTTCTGACACACTCAGTTGGTAGTCACACCTACCACATTCCCTGGTCTGTCTTTCCAACACCAGTACCTCAGTGACTACCCCTATTTATTCCCCCAAACTATATCTCAAGCTCAGATTTCAAGCTGAACCCAAATCAGAATACGAACTATCATTGAAAGAAGAAGAAAGAAGAAGAAATTAAATTTCAGATAAATATGAAGATGCCAATTTCTCTTGGTCTGACAAATGCACATCAAAATGAGATGTGATGTAAAAGAATTTGTTGGCTTGATTAAAATTTGTAGAAGGGCCAAGATTAAACCCCCATGCTATTAACCCTTTCCCTAAACAATTTTCTGAGCTTTGCTTTTTGTCTGAAGTAAAGATTTATTCATTTATCTATCTATTTATTTTCTACTTTATCATTGGCAGGGTCTTGTTCTGTCACCCAGACTGGAGTACAATGGCTTGATCATAGATAGCTTGCTGTAACCTCGAATTCTTGGGTTCAAGTGATCCTTCTATCTCAGCCTACTGATGTAGCTGGGACTGCAGCTGTGCACCACCACTCCCAGATAATATTCCTTATTTATTTTAGCTTTTGTAGAGCCAGGGGTCTTGCTTTGTTGTCCAGGCTGGTATTGAACTCCTGGGCTCAAGCAATCCTCCCACCTCAGCCTCCCAAAGTACGGGGAGTACAGGTGTGAGCCATCATGGCTGGCCCATAGTGTGGAGTTTTAAAAATTTATCTCTAGCACATATGGTTAGGCCTCTGGAAAGCCATTAGCTAAGGCAATTCAAATTCCAGCCCCCAGTAGCCTGTTGTAAATCAGAGCATTTGGATATTGGGTAGATAAGACTTGACAAGGCAAACAATGAAAACCTCCAATTATCTTGTTCCTTAGTTGCTGTGGGAGGTTTTAAGCCATGAATTGTGCTAGAAGCAATGGAAATACATCCATTTCCTGTTTGTGGACCATGGCCACTGGATAAGCATTGTACTAAAGGGCCAGACAGGAGAGATTTGTGGTATGGTCCTCTATTTTAAGAGCAGGACCAACTAATGAAGGTGAAACTTTGCTTTAACTTCTAATTTGGAAGTTTCATGAAACAGAGATAGCATTGCATGGAACAATTAGAGAATGAGGTGCTTGAAGTGGATCTTTTTCTTTTTTTTTCTTTTTTCTTTTTTTTTTGAGACAGTCTCACTCTGTTGCCCAGGCTGAATTGCAGTGACATGATCACAGCTCACTACAACCTTGACCTCCCTGGAATCAAGCCATCCTCCCATTTTAGCTTCCCAAGTAGTTGGGAGTACAGGGGATGTGCCACTGTGCCCAGCTGAACTGGATCTTCAGTATGTTTATGTAACTTTCAGGGAGCACAGGTAAGGTGTTACAGAAAGGTTGTCTAGCACAAGCAGAGAGGCAGCACTTGTTTAGGAAATAGCAGAAACAAAATCTTAATAAATGTGGATGCTTTTGTTGAGGAGAACTAAAAAATAAAGTTATCCAGCTGAGTCTTGATTAGAGATAGAAAGAAAGCGATCAAAAAGCCAGGAAGGGAAATCTGGAATTGAGGCCAAAGGCCGGTGGCCAACATTCTATCTCAGTGAATGTTTATTGAACAGTTTCTATGCGGTCTCAGGATTCTGAGGAAACAGAGATGAATTGGATATGGCCCTGCCCTGAAGGAGTTTGCGGGTTATAGCTGATGATAAATGTGGAAGTGGACTCTTAGGAAGATGAGTTGGACAAGGGTATATAGAAGAGATGGAAAGTTAAGAAACCCTCAACGCAAAAATTGAGGCAGAATCCGACTGAAGGCAAGGTGTGTCTAGGAGCTCATTTTAGGGACATTGGTTTGTTTGGCTTTTCCCCCCAGTGTTTTCAGCTTTGGAGCTTCAATTGAACTTTTGAGACAAGAAGGTAAGTTAAGGTTTCTAGACTTGCAAGAAAAATTTCTTTTAGTGTAAGTACATCCTCTGCAGCATTTGTTGTTGATGTGAAATTTAATTTGACTGGGCATATTGTATTTTGCAATGCATTTGCTTAGTCTAGTCGTTGTTCTTAAATGTCATTCATTTTCTGCAATTGATGTACTTGATCGTGGTCTGCATTTATTTACAGAGGAAAGAAAAGAAGGAAAGTGTCCTCTTCAAATTTTATTATTTTGGTGTCAAAGATTGTCACCAAAGATAGAAAGTTGATGGTCACTTTCTATCTCCCAAATCCGGCAAAACCCACTTACCTCCCCAACTGCTTCCAAAAGCATAAACAAAATAAAATAACACCATCAAAGATTCCAGAAGATTGGGAAAGATGTGGAAGGTAGAGATTAAAGTATAGCTGTAAGGGCCCTTTGACATCAATTTTATTCTCTCAGTGGGCTTAAAGTGTTTCTTTTCTGCTTCCTTTACTGCAAAGATATTTGACTCAAACTCTATTTTGTTATAGGCTCTTGAAAACTGGGGCTATAGTTTCTAGCCTTGTAATTTGTGTAATAAAATGTCAGTCTTAAAACCACTGGGAATCTGGGACATTTGTAAGGATTGGGCTGTTGTTAAAATACATGAGTGCTGAAAGGTCTCGCTTAACCCAGGAAAACACGAATCATGATAAAAGATCACATGGAAGATGCAGGCATGGGCAGACACTCTTGGTGGCAAGCAACAGAAATCCCTTAAAGTTCCAGTGAAAAGCAGTTTATTTCAGGGGACTCTAATGGTATTTTAAAGAAGGTGTAACTCCTGGAACTGGAAAGCTTTGAGATAGTTTCTCTCTGTCTCTCTCTCTCTCTCTCTCTCTCTCTCTCTCTCTCTCTCCTATATCCCTAGAGTTCCCCCCCATCTCTAGAGTTTTCTAGAGATAATTTTTTTTGGCCTTCTCTCAAGTTGTGTTGTGTATTGTGCAAGAATGGGAATAGGCAAGAGCAAGTGGAGATGGCCTTTAACAGGCTCCCAGTTACGGCCTTAATTTACACTGGTTATCTATGCTGGCCAACACTCCCGCATCATTATCTGTGAGAGAGTGGATAAGAAAAAATGACATTCTATTTTATGCACCCTCTTCTCCTTGAGATCTTACATCTTCACTTAAAATCAATCAGGTGGGCAGGTGAAGGGACTGGAAAAAAAAATGCCTTTTAATAGCTTTTCAGATCAAGAGTCCATCCTCTTCCTTAAAGGCTGGCTCACACTTCTATGACGTCTGGTGATGTTTTCAGTTCCACCTTGTGTGTTTTAAGAATTACACTGTTAAAATTAAAAATGCCTTAAGGAAGGGTAGCAGGGTATCTAGAGGTGGCACAAATAGGAGATGAATGCTCTTCAAAGTCCACCTGATTTATTCTGTCAGTCAATTGCAATATAGCTGTCTTCCAATACTAGCCTTAGGTCTCAGTCTACACAAGTCTAAGATTAAGTGGTCTCTGTAAAGAGCCCCCCCAGGAAAAATGCTCCCCACTTGGCAACGCAGGGTGGTTATGTGCTTGACTCTACCATGCCCTCCTTCTCTTTCCAGGGGCCTTTGGATAGGCTGATGCTATGGAGTTGGAATCTTAAGCTGGAGGATGAGCCAATCAAAGTCATAAAGGGAAGCCATATGTCACACACTTGGAAGTCCATGTATAAACATCAAGTTGAGAGTGGCAGAGGCAATTTCAAGACCAAGATCTCGGCACTAAGGTTAGAGTGGCAAAAATCAAGACTTGAGTGAGTGGAAAACACATGGGGAAGTGGCGGGGATGGTTCCTGAAGAGGTGGGGTGGGAGAGGCCTCAGAGTGTCAGTGCTGTGTGAACACTCTCTAGGCGAGCTGTGCTCAGCTGCGGTGTCCTGGCCATGAGGGCCTCTGACTCCTGGCAGCAAACTGGACGGCAGTTGAGGCTGCTGAGCATGCCCTCAGAGTAGCAAAGACATTTATAGGATCCTCTGTGCAGGATACAATTACTGTCCTTTACACTGCCCCGCAACAGTTGGTTTGTAAGAAAACATTTCCCAAAATTTTAAGCCCTGGGTATGCACAGATACCTAGAGCTCTGACGTAAAACCGTATGACTCTTCTACAGGAAGACAAGAAATTGGCCGATGATGCCATGGTGGTGGTCATTGGAGGCACCTGTGGTCAAAGGGCATGTGCAAACCCCTGCTTTGACCTTTATTCCTCAGCAGAGCAGAAGACACTTCTGCTCACAAAGCTGTGTGTGTCCTGCTTCAACATCACAGCCACAATTTAAGGGAACAAAAACGGTCTAATTATGTCTGAGTCTTGAGATGGGACTCTGGGAACTATGAGTGTTTATTAAAATGTTGACTACTAATTTCTTGAGTAGGGTGGGGCAGGAGTGGTGACTGACTCAAGCATAGGACAAGTGAGTGACTGGGACCAACAATTGATTTTTTGAGACTAGCTCTACTCAAAAAAAAGGATAGCAAAGCAAGAAGGCAGGTCAAATCAGAAACACTATGGAAATTCCAAGGGTGACAGCAGGGATATCACACACATACGACACATGAAGAGGGCCTGGGGAAGGACTAGGTTAGGAAACAGATCAGTGGCAAAGTCAGTAGAGACAAGGAAGGAAGAGAGTCGTATGATGGTATGGGGAGGCAGAGAGATGTGCTATCAATTGCCAGAATAATCTGAAATGCAATTTATTAATTCAGTACCTCATTCAGTTATTCAAGAAGTGTTCATTCATTCATTCAAAAATATTTAAGTTCCTAAAGTGTTCTCAGTTCTGAGTCCAAATCTTGGGATGCAATACCACCAGGACCCAGACACCAACATGGTGCGGTAGGTCTATGACTTGAAAGAGCATTTTGAGAACATAGAGGGAAGAGAAGCCGTCCTATTGGCAGAGAAAGCTGAGTTGAGTTTCAAGGGCAAGTAGCAGTTAAGTGGAGGACGCGTGCCTGAGGCAATGGCCGGTTGGCAAGCATGCCGACAGTACATTGGGGGAGCCATATGGCATCAGACTCGTTGGGGCATACGGTGTTAGGTGGGGTGATGGCGAGCAGTGAAGATTCCAGTAAAAGCAAGGGCTGTAACTTGAGGGGCCTCCTAAGTCATGGTACAGACTTTGGACTTTATTCTAAAAGCCATGGAGAGCTACTAGAAGGGCTTTTAGCAAGAGAAACTCAATTTGAGCTGTGCTGGGAAGGATCACTCAGGCTACAGGCTGCATGATTTAGGGCTGAGACTGGGAGGAGCCGGCCTGGAAGGTGGCTGTTGAAAAACGGATAGATAGGAGAGAGATTTGGTTGTCAAAATGATGGGGCTTGGTTATTGGCCAGAGACTTGGGGAAGACAGAGGAAGCAAAAACAAGTTGTACGTTTCTGGATCGGATAACTGAGGGTGGATGGTGTAGTTATTTGTCTGTTTGTGGAACTAAGAGGAGAATTGGGCTTTGGAGGGAGGACAGCGAATTCAGTTTTGGATATGTCTGGGATTGGGGGTGGCAGGGGGAAGCCCTGCTTTTGCACTAACCCAGTGCCTGTCTGGGTGAGTGGGTGAGGCTGTTTATAGCACCAGGCACAGGCTCATCATCAGTTAACAGCCATGGTTTATTTTTCTCCCGGGTATAGAAGAGGATCTGTACTGTGGATGTAAGGAATTTGAGCTGGAATATGCCAGAGGAGTATACCTTGGTTAGAATCGAGATGTGTGATAACAAGATTTAGCTTCTGAATGCAGAGAAAAACAAACAAAAATCAAAATATCTCAGTGTTAAAAAAAAATCGTAGAATTTCACTTGCACCAATGGTTTTGTTTTACGAACTCCTTGACATGCGTCTGTAGCAAAGCAATTGCTTTGTTGCTGCGTCGAGGGGGAGCTTCCTGCAGGGCACACCTAGCAAATGGTGCTTCTCAAAAGATATGCCATCTCCCTGGGCTCTGATTTTCTTCTCCTGGGGTCAATATTTCACTCTTGTCAGGATATTGCCTGATGCCTGCCTGTCTCAAGCCCCAGAAGAGAGCCATCTGTTGAGCTGTGGAATGTTTTCAGCCACAAGTCATACATCATTATTCTAGCCAGGTCATGCTGTTGCTTGTAGAATTTTTTATAGATGGAGGTTCAGCTTATGTTCTGAATTAGAGGTTCTCATCTGCCTGTGGCAAATTGCAGCACAGGCTACTGGAAATTCCCTCTGGTGATTGGAAATATTTGGGATATTATTTATTTAGATATTCTACTACTCCTTTTAAGCAACTCTTTCTCCATTCAATCTTCGAAAGCAGAAGAGAGAGAGAGAGTGTGTATGTGTGTGTGTGTGTGTGTGTGTGTGTGTGTGTATTTGTTTGTTTGTTTTGGGTAATCTCACACCAAAAGCATTTTCCATTTTCTTATTAGGAACTTTCTCTTTGTCCAAAAGAAGGAAAAAACAAAAAACACTTGTGAAGAACACACTTTTAATTTTTTTTTTAAATGACCTGTGTATGCTTAAAGGTTGTATTATGGCATGACATATTTGTGATTTTTAATTTTTTAAGAGGGAACAGTTTTAAATTCAGCCTAGTGTTAGCGATGTCGCTAAGAAATAGTTCCATTTAATAGCTTTGAGTTAAATAAATGCTCCAGCTTCAAGGAAAAACCATCTGAAGGTAAATGGGGGTGGTTATAGGGAGAAACATGTTACAGAGGCAGTTATGCGCATTCATGCTACAGGTGCTGGGCCATTGCCATCTTTATTTCTCGCTCTAGAGTTAAGTCAACTAGCCACTGATGAAAGTCCTTTAAAGGTGCTTCATCATCCTCTGGATAAAGCCCAACCTTCTGAAGATGGCGCATGGAGTTTTCATGATTTGGACCTGATGAGGTTTCTAGCTTATTTTCTTGCCATCCTTACCCATCTCTAATACCTGGTACCATGTCATTCTTCCCAATATTTGTCCTCAGCTTTTCAAATAAAGCATATGGTTGTCAAAGAAAGAATATAACGAGATAAAAAATACGCTATTCTCTGTATGTCAATTACAAACTCCTTGAAATAAGTGAACAAATCTGACGTAAAACCAATTGCTTTCTCTTGAGGTTGGAAAACATGCCTAAATAAATGACCTTGCTGCTTTTTCCAAGGTCAAATGGTAGTTTGGCGATGAAGCATACCTCTATTTTATTATCGGTAAAATAGGGATATTACAATTTACTAAATATGGCTGTTGAGAAAATAAAATGACATCATTCTTCTAAAGGACCAGTGATGGTATCTGCTGCGTAGTTGGTACTAAATACTAACCACTGTATTGATCTAAAGGACTAGCTCGGCCCCTTCCAATGGGTGATGCTTCTAGAAACAAGGATGAGCCCGCATGCCCTGACTTCCTCGTTGTGCTTCTGAATGATTCCTCTGTGTGTGTGTTTATGTGCTCATGCCCATGCCCTCGCTGCATAGCACAGCCTGTACATCGCACGGAGATTGTTTTCCAAAAGCCTGTTCCATTGTAATCTACATTTCCATCAACCTTCTATTGACTTTGCCACACAGTTCAGATCATCACTTAGGTGTTACTGACACCTTTGAGCACATCTGCTCAAAACTGTGCTTGGAGGGTTGCACATTTTGAGGGTGTGTGCATAATGATATAAGGTTCTAAATAATAAATTAAAAGATAGTTTAGAGCCCTCATTACAGCCATCTGCGTTAACTTCCCATTACAAATTAAAATATCCATTTTGACACAAGTTTAATTTTTCCGAAACACCTGTTCTAAAAGGCAATGACTTTTTACATAATGGAAATGGCAACACTTTGAAAATATTACACTTTACTGGAAAGTTAGGTATGTTCCAGAATAAATGTTTTCCATGGTGGGCGGGGTGGGTGGTTCTCATATGTAATGAGGATGATCAATCACCCAACAAAAACTCCGTATAATGTATACAGAACTCACCCACAGATTTCCTTTTCTTTCTCTGTCCTTAGTACTTTGAAAAATCAGCAATAAGTTCCTTTGGTTTCCTTCTCATATTTTACAAAAATCATTGTAGAAGCAGAGGTGTGATCATTTAGCAACTATTGACTTCTGAAAAAAAACAACAAAGCTTCCATCTTAAATCATCCACAAAAATTGAAGCAATCTCCATTACAACCTTGTAGATTAGGCAGCTTATGTGTACAATCCATTTTCTTTCACATTGGCTATCCATTGCATAAATATTTCTGCTTGTGTGGTTGTGCAATATACTGGTATTTCCCTAATTTTTCTATTAATCCAAATGGCATCAAGCATTGAATGATGTAGGTATTTTTGGAGACTGACTTCAGTACAGACTAAAATAAGAGAATTCTGGTTTACAAGTGCTGTGCTATTTTCTAGGGATTATTTACTAAAACTGGATAGCAAAACAGAAAGGCAGTGTTTCCTTAAAATAAGACAATTTGCAAGGCCTGTCACAAGAAGTGAAAAGATTTCTCTTCCTTCTTGGTTTCCTTTTAACTATCTCCATAAAACAAAGGAATTGCCAGAAACCTTTGGGTGCTTCCTCTGTCTTCATGAAAAGGACTACTTAATTGAAGTTACCGACCTTCTTTCCTTTACCATTCAAAGATCACCTCTACCCGCTGGGAGAGATGTCAGGGGAAAGATTTCTGCCTTCCAGGAGCCTTAGAGAATTATAATCATCTGTCTCCATGTATAATATACTCTCCTTTGAGTACATTAAAAAGCCATAACATGGAAAACATATAGTGCATGTTCTTCACTACTTTTCAAATATAGGTTCTTTGAAGGCATGGTGGGTAAGTTCAGGGGTGGATGCAGGAGAGCTGGATTTAAATAAATTTCTGAGCAATTCTAAGATTCTGTGATGTTGTCACTTGTATGATCTAAGGTACTGCTCTGAACATCACTTCTGTGGGCTGACTGCCAACTACATTCTTATGTTTATTTCTGCACTGCTCCTCACTCAGGCAGTTTCTCATCCTTGTATGCCTTTCTCCTCAAAAGTGGAAAGGCCTGGAGGGGAGAGGGAGCTTGGCATTTTGGGAGGAACACAAGTAATTGTTTTTGATCTGGATTTCACCTTGTTGAGTAGGGAGGTGTAGGTAAGAAGAGGCTGGAAATCGTGGAGAGTCATGTCAACTTTGCAACTGAATTTGAACTTGATCCTAAGGACAAGGAGGTACCAATGAGCATTTTACAGACTAGCCATATGGTAAGATTTTAGTTTTAGAAACATCACTGTTAATTCTGGGTAGTGGGAATATGAGTGTTCATTTTACCATTCTTTGTGCTTCTCTGTATTTTCAAAAGTCTGACTCAAATGGACGAGGCAAATACAGCTCTTCCTGGCTTCAGAGTAAAGAGCAGATTAGAAGAGATACGACATATAGATCAGCTGGAAATTTGTGACAGTAATTTAGACAGGGGACAATTATGTGCTAATCAAGGCAGTGCCCCAGTAGGGCTGGAGACACACAAGTGGCTGGAGCCACATGTCGGAGGTAGAAATGGAATTGGACATGAAGGGGAGTGAAGGAAGTGGGTGTCACTAAGTTTCTGGAAGGTCACCTAGTTGAGTGAGAATGCTCCATGCAGGAACGCACAGGGAAGATGATTATGTCTGCTTGGGACAGTTGGAAATGCCTGAGAGCCATCTTAGTAGAGATGCCCTACAGGAAGTTAGATGTTTTCATCTAGAGCTTGGGAGAAGTTTGGGAGCGCAGATTTAGATTTAGGCATTGTCAGTTTTTAGAAGCCGTAGAAGTAAGTGTGATTACTAAGAGAATATCAAGAGTCAAACATAGGCAGGTGATGGATGAAACTCTGAGAGACATCTGCAGGTATTGGGATGTTAGAAGGAGGCTAACAAGTGAATGGAGAATTTGTTTTACGGGGCAAAATGACACCAATTGTGCCAAAAAGATAAAGTGAGATAATTCTGAAAAATCTTTTTTTTTTTTTTTTTAGACAATCTTGCTCTGTCTCCCAGGCTGGAGTACAATGGCTCAAACTGGGCTCACTGCAACCTCCGGCTCCCTAGTTCAAGTGATTCCCGTGCCTCCGCTTCCCAAGCTAATTTTTTTTGTGTTTTTAATAGAGATGGGGTTTTACCATGCTGCCCGGGCTGGTCTCGAACTACTGAGCTCAGGTGATCCTTCCGTTGTGGCCTTCCAAAGTGCTAGGATTACAGGCATGAGCCACCGCACCCAGTCTGAAAAATCATCTTTGATTGAATTTAGCGATAATGAAATTTTTGGTAAGAGTAATGCTGGTGGGATGGCAAAGGAAGAAACCAGATTACAAAGTTTAAAAAATCAAATAATAATAACAATAGCTACATTTTGATAGCTTATGATGTGCCGGACCCCCTGCTAAGCTCTTTATCAATATTGCCGTATTTTATATGCACAGCAATCCAATAAGTAGAACTTATATTTATTTCACTTTACTTGAGAAAACTGAGATGTAGAGAAATTAAATACTATGCCCAGAATCACGTAAATCAGATAGGGGAAGAATAACTCTGACTCACGTCTGCTTTAATCCTTAATTCCTAATTTTATTAGAGAAAAGAGAAGGACAATGAGTGTCCACCTGGTTTCAATAGTGAGGTCTGAGGCTCCAGAGAAGGTAAGAGACAACCAGAAGGGCAGCCCACAGAGAAGAGGGGTTTTGTCTGTCTGCTCGTTTGTTTTTAAGATGGGATAACTTGAAGTATATTAAATACTGATGGAGAAAAACTGGCAGAGAAGATGTGGAGAGAGAAGGAAAAACTGACTCTACAGGGTAGGTTTCCTGAGGCGGTAGCACATGATGGAATGGGGTCCTCAGCATCCACGAACATTCTCACCATAGTGATCGCAACAGCAGGGATATCAAGTTGGGGAACTGGGCAGTAGATGAGTGAGGCAGGTCTTGCCCCATGGCTTCTGTTTTCACTGTGAAGGAGGTGAGGTCGGCTGCAGTGGCTCACATCTGTAATCCCAGCACTTTGGGAGGCGGAGGTGGGCAGATCACAAGGTCAGGAGGTCAGGAGATCAAGACCATCCTGGCCAACATGGTGAAACTCCATCTCTACTAAAATACAAAATATTAGCCGGGCATGGTTGTGCACACCTGCAGTCTCAGCTACTTGGGAGGCGGAGGCAGGAGAGACAGAAGTTGCAGTGAGCCAAGATTGTGCCACTGCACTCCAGCCTGGTGACAGAGTGAGACTCCGTCTCAAAAAAAAAAAAAAAAATGGAGGGGGTGGTGCCCAGGTGGAAGCTCTGATGAGTGTGCAGATTGACAGTTGCTTGTATGGAGGACAGGAGAGTGCTGACCACAGAAATGCAGAAAGACTCCAAGTAGCGCATCAGGCCCAGTGGAGGCCGAAGGCCACAACTTTGGGCAGAAAGGAGGAGAGAAAGGCACAGTCTGTGCTAGGTG